CGTGATGGGAACCACACTGCAACACATCCTGGGTTCTGTATTGTCACTTGTGAGAGTGTGTGTGTCTGCCTGTAGTGCTGAGTGGTTTATCTCATGGATTTGTGGACCCGTCACTACTGTCAAGACCCCAGTTGTCTCATCACTGGAAGGACCCTGCCTGCACAGCACCCTTCTCGTTTCTGGCCTCTGCTTACTGCTCACCTGAGCTCTCCTTTATAGAGCTCTCTCTATAAATAGACCCAGACAGTTTCTGACTTTTGAAATTGCCTACTTTGATTAAGCATAACGCCCTCCAGGCAACCCCGTGCTGTGTATACTGATACTTTCCCTTTTTAAATTCTTTCCCTTGGCTAGGTTTCCAATACCAGGCACGATTTCTCTGTTTTTCAGCAGGTCGTAAGTTCAGTTAGAAAGCTGTTGGTTACTGCCACAGCATTCGTGCCGCTGCTGCATCCTCAGGGCCATGGTGTCATGCTGGTTGCTGTGGTCGCTCCTGGGTATTCTGTACGCTTGTATAATGACTTCATGTGCCATGAAAGCTAGTCCTTGAGGATGCTCTGGGTCTGTGTCTGAAGTGCATGGTGTCTTCAACAATAGAGGCCTAACTTCCACCTCTGGAGGACACCCACGGGCAGTAGTCACAGGCTGAATGTTTTAGGAGTCTCTGGAATAGCCCTGGCCAACAAACAGAGCTTCCGTGTCTAGTGTTGGGGTTTTATTTCTTTTTTAGACAGGATTTAGCCTTGGCTGTCCTGAAGCTCACTTTGTAGACTAGACTAGCCTTGAACTCAGAGAGCTGGGATTAAAGTGCTGCTACCACCACCACTAAGGCAGACTTTCTCTGCGGTCCAGACATCATGTGTTCCCCCCCCCCCCCAATCTTCACCCATTGACAGACATTTGGGCTATTCCCAGGTTTGTTTTTTTTTTTTTTTTTCTTTTCTTTTCTTTTTCCTTGAGACAGGGTTTCTCTGTGTAACAGCCCTGGCTGTCCCAGAACTCACTCTGTAGACCCAGCTGGCCTCGAACTCACTGAGATCTGCCTGCCTCTGCCTCCCAAGTTCTGGGATTAAAGGCTTGTGTGCCACCACCTGCATTATCTCGGGCTTCTTAAAGGAGAAAGGGTTTATACTGTAGTTCACAGTTCCTGTTCTAGTCCATCGTGGTGAGGAAGTCAGGGCATTAGGAACTTGAAGGTGCCGGTCAACATGACATCTTCAGTCTTGTGTATGCTTGTGCTCAGCTTGCTTTCTCCACTGTTAGGTCAGGATTTCTGCTTAGGGAACCGTGTCACCCACAGAAGACAGGCCTTCCTACCCTGATTAACATAGTCAAGATGATCCCTTACAGTCATGCTTAGATTAACATAGTTAAGATTATTCCCCCCCCCCCCAAGACAGGCTTAGACTTCTACCTTGCAGGTGATTCCAGATTTTGTCAAGTTGACAGTTAGTTCTAACCATCACAATGGTTGTGAACTCCTGAGCTCAAGTGATCTTTCTACCCCAGCTCCTGAGGGCTGGGATTGTGGGGCCAAACCATCTTCTGCTTTATCTTCATACCAGTGTGCCTGTGAGATGCAGTTTCTTTCCCTTCACACCAGCATTTGACATTGGCACTGTCTCATTTTGTAGTTTTGGGGTATCTCACTGTGGTTTTCATTTTTTTCTCTATTGTCTATTGATGTACTCACTGGCTTTGTGTCAATTTAGCCAAGTGCTCTTCATGTCTCTTGTCTCTTTTCAGATTGGGTGCTGTAGTTAAGCTTTTGACTGTTTTCTTCTGCCCAAGATGCTGGCAGTTCCCCAGGTTTGTGCTGCAGACAAACTGCCACTCTGCAGTGTAGCTTTCATAGTGTGAAGCTTTCACTTTTCTTTCTCCCCTTTCTTAATCAGGGAGTTGGAGTTCACTAAGAGAGATATTTTTAGCTGGGTGTGGTGGCACACGCCTTTGATCCGAGCTCTCAGGAGTCAGAGGCAGGTGGATTTTTGAGTTCAAGACCAGCCTGGTCTATAGAGTGAGTTCCAGAACATCCAAGGCTACCCAATCTTGAAAAATACACAGGTGACTCCCTCTCCCCTAAAAAAAAAAAAGAAAGAAAAAAAAAGGAGGAGGAGAAGGAAAGGAAGGGAGGAAGGAAAGAAGAAAGGAAGGAAGGAAGGAGGGAAGGAGGGAAGGAAGGAAGGAAGAAAAAGAAGAAGACAACCTGTTGGAGCAGTTGGAATTTTGAGCCTTGTCTTGTGTGCCCCTCCCACCTGGAAGAGCATGGCCGTATTTAAAGGGGCCAGAGGCCGTGTGAGTTAGAGGGAGCTGTGCCACCTGCAGTTGCCCCAGCCTCTGTCACCTATGTTTCCCCAAGGAGCAAGTGCTCCTTCCCAGGAAGACATCAGTCTGTCCTTGGCATGGAACAGTGGGATCCAGGATCTACTTCATTTTCAACCTCTGCACACACTGGAACAGTTTGTAAGCTTAGTATGTTTGGATTGGACTGCAGATGTTGGCAACTTCCATGTAGGTCTCAGGTCTGGGTGGAGGAGTTGTTACACTCTCCTTTTAAGGGGACTTGGGACTAAATGTTTGAGTGAGGGCATTTCTTTAACTGTTGTCTAAGAGAATGTTCTAGAAACCTTCAAATTGTTTGGTAGAGGCATTCCACATCTTTTTTTCTATTTCCAAGATGTAAATAATGTCACTTTAAAGTTGCCATGAGAGAAGAGAAAACAAACATGAGATACTATTTGGGTAACATGGTGGCAATTTAGGGGTATTTGTTCTTTTTTTACCCATCCCCACCTGTATCCTTTTAATGTGGGGTGACAGGCAGAGATGTTGATTTACAATGCAAACCTTTCTAAAGAAACATCTCAGGCACTAGCTTTCAACTTGGCAGCCGTGCCTACAGCAACTATTATTAGGTTGTCATAGTGTCTTTTTTTTCCAGAACTTGCCACCAGTCTTAAATATAGACACCTTCTTCGTTTTTGAGTTTCCCAATTTAGGTGCCTTCTCCATTTTTGAGTCTGGAATTTGTCTTTTAGTCGGGGGGGGGGGGGGTTTAGAGACTGTTTATGTGAAAGGAAAAGATCAATAGAAAGGGGTCTGCCTGGGCCCCAGTGCTCTGTAGGAGCTGACAGGTACATGTGGTGATGAGGTATCTGAGGGGAGCTGGGCAGGAGATGTAGGTGGACAGCAGGCAAGATGCAGCTAGATCATAGGGCAGGTGTGAGGCTTGGGGGAGTCTCCTGAGGGCATCGCTACAGTTTGGCCTGGATATCTGCTCCTGGACTTGAATGGACTGTGAGGTTTGTCACCTGGGCTGACAAGGAAGCTGGAGGTGCAAGCTTCAGTCTGGCCTCTTTCCCAGTGTCTATGATGTTTACTGTCTCGCCATTTGTCCTTCTCATCTGTGTGAGCACTGGTGCACAGTGAGTCGTGGCCAGAGTCCTTGGTTTGGGCACTTGGCCTTCCAGGTCACCTGATGGTGGATGACATTGACTCTTGTCAGTAGGTGGCAGCACTAAAGAGGCTGAAGTTCATGTGCTGTGAGCCAGTAAAGGGGGCACTTAGCCTCCTCCTCTCCAGCTGCTATAACAGAATACTGGAAACTGGCCTGTCTCTCACAGTTCTAGAGGCTGGGTGGTTGAGATCAGCTACTGACCGCACTGTCCAGTGAGATCCATTTCTAGTTCATAGGCAGTCAACTCTTCGTACTGTCTTCAAGTTGCAGGAAAGGCAAGGGGCATCATATAATGGTACTGGATCCCATTTGTGAGGGTTCCACCCTTCTGACCTAAGCACCCAAACCTCCTGATGCTGTCACTTTGGCAGTAGTCTGAGGCTTCAAACTCCTAAGAGCACATTCTGGATGATCCTGGAAAGCTTGCTCTTTGAAAGTGGCTCTGGTCTCTGGCCCAGCCTTGGCCTCCATTGGTAAACATCTTGGGTACCTAAACCAACTCTTTTCTGGGCCATATGGGGGTTGGGATTCCAGCTCTTTGTCTAGGAAGGCGTTCCTTCCATAGAGCTGCCATCCACCCTCTGGAAATTTCCTTGATGTCCATTTCCTCTGTTCTGCCTTTTCCTTATTTGTGGGGCACCTGACTTACATTCTCTTTGAAATATGGGTTGAAAGCCATTATAAACAGCTGGGTACTGGGCTTGATGCTGGGGGTTCAAAGACAGAAATGGGGTGCTACCTCTGAGCAGGCAGGAAAGATAGACCATGTGTTACTTAGAGAGAACAGTAAGGGCATGTAAAATGGATTGGAGTGTCTGTTGGGAAATGTGTAGGCAGGGAGGGAACTGGTGCGTGGGTCAGAGGTACAGTACTTGCCTCACTTGTGTGAAGTCCTGAGCTCCATAGTTTGAAGTTTGAAGGTGCATAATTGGGAAGAGCCATGAAGTCTTGAGGATAGCACAGCTAGGACCAAGGGATGGATGGTTGTTAGCCATTAGGGAAGTCAGAAAACTCAAATACCAAACCCTCAGGTAGATGCCCATAGTGATAAAATGTTTTTGCCAGATCAGGGTGGTACACATCTGTAATCCCAGTACTCAGGAGCCTGAGGCAGGGGGATTGTGAGCGCAGGGCTTATCTGGGCTATACATAGCAAGACCTTGCCTCTGGAGGGGAGTGACAAGAAGACTGTGAGGCAGTTGTGTGTGCCATGTGAGGGCTGCAGCTTGCAGCAGCAGTGCTTGGGGACTGCAGGGGTAGCAGGCGGGTGAAGCTGTTCTTGAGGGTGTGGGACAGCACTCTTCTGTACCTCTGTACTCCCAGGCATGTTTTGCTCTCCTAACTTCCTAGGGAACTGTTGGGGACCTTTAGCAGACAAAGGTCCTGGTCTGACTGTGATCTCAATGTCACAAGGCCATGGAGTACATTCCTATATTGGTCTAGACATGGCAGGACAAGGACAGAGCGGGGATGTGGCGGGGCCAGAGTGATGTAGACCTCGAAGGGTGTTTCCAACTCATACTCACCCAGATTTTTTCCCTAGGCCAGCCCATCACTCACAGAGATTCTCTCAGGGAGCCTGCTGCTGCTGGCCACCATGACAGTGAGGGGGGCTGCGCTGGCCCCAGACCCAGCATCACCCACAACTGCTGCAGCGTCACCTGGTGTCTCTGCAACCCCCGAGGGCAGTCCCACAGCCATGGAGCAGCCCGTGTTCCTGATGACCACCACTGCCCAGGCCATCTCTGGCTTCTTTGTGTGGACAGCTCTACTCATCACCTGCCACCAGGTACCTGGGTGTGAAGGGGGGAACCTTCATAAGTGTCCAGAGTGGTTTCTAGTCTAATGAAGCATACTTTAAGGAAACCAGGCTGTAGCAGTGGGTGAACTCTGCTTCCTAGGTGATTTCTCCTCCACACCCCAGCTCAGCTAAGGGCAAGTTGTGGCTCTAGAGTCTGTACTCCTCTAACAATCAGAGCATCAGGAATGTGAAGAGACAGATACTTGTTTGCCTTGAACTACAAGTGACAGTTACTTCTGCTTAGTAGCTTTTGGCCATGCCCATATCTAGCTGAAGCCACAGATCTGTACATGTTAGAGATGTCTTTGCAAAGAGACTCGAGAGCCTGAGGGGCCTGGCAGAGGAGCTGGTTGCACATATGTAGGTGGCAGCTCAGGGAGAGAAGTCAATTTCATGTCTCCTGTATTCTGGCCTCAGGGGAGTCTGGGTGCTCGATAAGAGGGCTTGATGAATGCCCCATGCAGGCTGGGTGAGTTTGCTCAGGCCCCTGGCAGCTGCCATGTGCCTCAGTCTCTTTTAGATCTATCAGTGTTCAAGAGACTGGCCTACAGCAGATGGGAATGTTTTGTCCTTTTCCTCAGCCAGGGCTGGGCTGGGCCAAGAGTGATGTCATGAGAGCTGGGACTAGGCACTGGTGCTGGCTTGGCTCTGCTTTCTCAGAGTTGCGCTGCCTTCTTCTGCCTCCCAGGAACATTGCAGTGCTGCCTTGGTTCCGCAGATTGAGGAACAAGGCACAGTGTGAGCACACCACTGTGACCACATGGCCTGAAGTGTATCCATGTCTGCAGAGTGAGGCTCCCATCTGTCCCACCCTTTCTTGCATCTGCTAAGGGACAAGGCAAAGGGGCCACAGCCAGATGGCCTTGAGTCACCCTTGATCAGCTCTTGAGTTAACCCAGTGCTGTTGCTGTGCGACCCTGGGAACTTGGATTTGGCAAGGCAGAATGGACAGTACACACTGAGGACTACAACTTCAACAGCACCATGCCCTACTATCCCATCTAGAAAGGTGGTCTGTAGATGTCGCTCACACCAGCTTTATGTGGTCACTTTGATTTGATTCTCATGATGGAAGTTTTATCAGCTAATTTTACTGAGCAGGACTAAGTCTCAGGGAGCCACCCTCCTCCCTTGGAGCAGGAAGAAGAGGGCAGATAGGTGGGTGGGATGAAGGTGTGGTAATGGTAGGTCTTGACTGACCTGGTGCCCTTCATCCAGATCTACATGCATCTGCGCTGCTACAGCTGCCCCAATGAGCAGCGCCACATCGTGCGCATCCTCTTCATCGTGCCCATCTACTCCTTCGACTCCTGGCTCAGCCTTCTCTTCTTCACCAACGACCAGTACTATGTGTACTTTGGCACCATCCGTGACTGCTATGAGGGTGAGGAGTAGTGTGGAGTGGGTCTGGGGGGAGAGCTGGGGAGCTGGGGCCCATGGGAGAAAGGGGCGTGCGCTCCTCTCATTCAATTCTAGGATCTGGGGACTGGGGCATCGTTTCTCAGTTTTTCCCTGGAGTCTGGACCTCACAAAGATGAATGTAGATGTCCCTTCCCCACCTGGCTCTCCATCTGTCCCTAATGGACGGGTAGCCAACCGTACATTTAAAGCTAAGTCTTTAGACATGCTGTGGTATTGGGGAGGGCGGTTGTCCCAGGACACATTACATTCACAGGAGCTCCACCTCTAGCTCTTTTTCTTTTCTCAGTTCTGGCTGATGGGCAACTTGTAAATGGTCCATCAATGGATAGAAACCCCAGGTGTGTGGGAGGACTTACATGGCTGGGCCTGCAACCCCATGTGTCCCCATGTGGTGCTCTGTTGTGTCTCAGAGGAAAGGGCTACTGTCTTGCGGGCCTTGGTTCCTTGGTTCCTTAGCTCCTCTCACCATGTCCCCCCTCATCTCTCTTGCCTCCTCCACACCCTCTGCAGAAGACACATCAGCTGTAGCAGTAGGTAGATTCCTGGTGTTGGGAACAGGCATTGCCTGATTTTCCAGTCCTGTGTGGGCCTGACCCTCATCCTATCTTTTCCCCAAAGTCACATCTTTCCTGTCCATCCATACATAGTTGCAGGGTGTTGTCTGCCTCTTCAGGGGATGCTGCTCTGAGAGGAGGTTTCACTCAGTGTGAGAACACAGCCAGACACATGACAGGACCTCAAGCAGCTTAGGCTGACCTGAAACTTTTTGGGGTGGTGTCAGGGTCTCATTTTACAGCTCTTGTTGGCCTTGAACTCATAGAGGACTGCCTGTTTCTGCCTCTTGAGTACTGGGATTAAAGGTGTGTACCTTATATACTTTTGTCTTTTATGTATATGTTTGCCTGCATATAGGTCTGTGTACCACGTATGTGCAATGCCTGAGGAGTCCAGGGGGTGTTGGTAATCAAACCAGAATTGATCCTCTGGAAGAGCAACCAGTGCTCTTAACTGCTGAGCCATCTCTCTAGCACCAGCCCCAAACCCTTACCCCCCTCCCAGAGGGTTTCTCAGTGTAGCCTTGATTATCCTGAAACTTGGTCTGTAGACCAGGCTGGCCTTGAACTCAAAGATCCTCCTACCTCTGCCTCCTAAGTGCTGGGGTTTTATGTGGTGCTGGGCATGGAACCCAGGGCCTTCTAGATGCTAGGCAAGCACTCTACCAATTAAAATACATCCCCAGGCCAGTCCATTTTATGTTCATGTTGGAGGAATGGGGAGCTCATACATGCCAGGCATGTCCATTTGTATACTTGTGTTGGAGAAATGAGGGCTTATAAACACCAGGCATGTGCTCTCCCATAAAGCTGTACCCCATAATTTCTGAATAAATGGACTTGAGTATTCATACTGTGAGCTCTGCCCAGCCTCTCTTAGGGCTGCACTGATTCCCAGGCACCTTCCTCCTGGCCAGTGCTCCTATAAATGTAAATTCCTTCCAAGAGAGACTGTAGAGGCACACTCAGTGCTCCACTGTTCTTGCTGTCCCCGAAGGCGGAAGTTCCCCAAGGAAACCTCTGCCTGGGGAAGAGAGGAGCTGAGCATCCTTCTCTGTGCATGTGCCAGCCCCAGGTGGAACAGCTTCTGCTCACCTGGTTCTTTTAGAAGCAAAAGGTTGTTCTTTACTGTGTATGTGTCTTTGTGTGTTTTTGTGTGTGAGTGTCCTGTGCAGTGTGGGAGCAAATGTAGGCTTTCTCCTTGGTTCGGCCCTGAAGATGGGACATTTAGCAAATCGTGGGGACATGGGGGAGCTACCAATCTCTCCTTACTCAACACCCCAGAGTAGCAGCAGATGGTGGGTGGCACTCCCACTTCAGAAGCCTCTTTGTTCCTCCCACCAGCCCCAACCAGCCTCCCTGCCTGTGGAAAGGTCGCCTCGGGAAGTCTGCCACTCTGGAAGCTCATCTCCTAGCAACGCTATTGTCTCTGGCCTCTCATCTCCCTGGGAGTTGACAAACAGCACAGAGCACCTGGAGTTGAGGCTGCTTGAGGTCACTGGCTTGTGCTGTCTTGAGTCAACAGCCTGGCCCTCACTCTTAACAGGCCCTTCTGTACCTATTTTCAGGTCTCTTATTTCTGTGACAAAGCTATAAAAGCACACACACATGCATGCACACACACTCATAAACATTTCTCTTTTCTTCACCTTACTGGGGAGACTGGACTTTATTGTTTACATTTTATATGTTTAAGTATTGTTCACAGCTGGACAGGCAGGCTGGTCCTCCCTGTCCTTTACATGTAGAAGTTTGTGATTTGCATAGGTGCTAACTATTTGTCTTAATTTTGGGGTGCTTCAGTTTTCTGGGCTTATCATTCATTTATCCCTGAATGGTATAATTGGGTTTTTTTAATGAGCAGCCCTACTTTCCTAAGGCGACACCGTGTGACTCTGTCACTGCTGCCTTTTTCTTTGACCACGTTTCTCTGGAGCCAGTGATACTTGCTTCTGAGTGAGCCCTCCTCTGCTCGGCTGTCACCAGACTCTGTCATTCACCATCATTCTTGGATTTGTGTCAGCCTTCTGTGTTGTGTGAGCCACCTGTCCCCATTTCTCCTTTGTTTTGGTTTCTTCTCTCTGTTGGTCGGGGCCTTCCACCGGACCTGAAAAAGCAGGTACATATTGGTGAGGTCTGAGTGTCTGTACTGGACTACTCTGTGATTTACATCCCTGGGAAGGGACCACACATTTCATGGCTTCATCTCCTGCCCCTTTTGGAAGTCTGCTCAGTTCTGAACTGGCCTAGCCATTAGCATATTCTTCCTGGCTTTTTAGATCTTGTTTTCAACCCTCAAGTCTGAAATCTCACAGAAGACAGAGCCATAATCGTCATGCTGGGAGACCTGGCAGACTTGAACTCCCCAACTCAGGCCTGAGACTTTTTCTTGTGTCTTTAATACTTTACTTTTTTTTTTCTTTTTCTTTATGATTTAATTATTTAAACTTTATCATTTTTATTATTTAGTTAGCAACCTGGAAAGAGATATTCACATAAGAGCTTAGCAAGGTTGGGTTACAATAATACCCAGGTTTTTCTTAACTTGTCTGAATATAAAGTACATAACAGAATTAAAGCTAGCCAGAACCACCCCAATACTAGCCACAGCCTACCTAATCTTTGTGTTCAGGTCCCTATTCATCCAGAGGCCTAGTTCTAGGGCCTTCATGGCTTTCTCAAGCATGAACACTCACTCCTCTTAGCTATGGACTAAAGCATCCACTTGGTTGGAAGTGTGCACAAGTAGGAGCTAAAAACCGTGGCCTTGGTGAGGTTAGCAGTCTGGCCTTGCTCACATGCTCAGTGGAAGGGATTCAAGATCCCTGTGGGAAGAACAGGGCTTCCAGCAACCTTACCTGGACTTGCAACACTTTTGGATATTTCAGTTCTTGAGGAATGTTCACCCAGGGAGGGTATCTTTATGGTTCAGAAGCTGTCCTGTCTACTTAATCCCTTGGAAGCATCCTCTTTCCCTTTCTTTTTCTCTAGGATTCCTGCCCTGGGATGTGCTCCTGGAACTTTTCATTTTCTCACTCTTTCTGTTGCTGTCTAGGAGCTGTTTGTTGCTTGTTTTTCACTCCATCATCTGAACTTTTCCTGTTTGACTTAGTTTATCTCACTGTAATGTGTAGGTGGCTCTTCGTTTTTTTTTCCAAGGCCCTTGTTCTTGGTGCTGTAAGGTATTCTTTTCTCTGGGGAGACTAATTATGATTTCCTTCTGCATCAGCTCCACTTCTTGAGTTCTTTGCATCTGTTTGATTTATGCATGTGTGTGTATGTGCACGCGCGCGCTGAGTATGTGTGTACTTGTGTGCTGTATGCATGTGTGTGTGCAGGTGTAGGAGACTGTCTGGTGTCCTATCTATCACTTTCTGCCTTGTGCCTTTAGTCAGGGTGGTTGTCTGAACCTGGAGTAGACTGTTGCCAGAAAACCCAAACAATCTTCAGGCTATGCCCCTGAACATCCCTCAGCCCCTTACCAGCTTTGGAGTTACAGGTGTGCACACATGAGCACGTTTAGCTTTGGTGGGGATCACATGACCATGCTTGGCTTTGGTGGGAATTTGAACTCAGGTCTCTGTGCTTGTACAGCAGTCCTCTCACCCACTAAGCCATCTCTCTGTCCCTGATTTACTTTCTGACCTTTGTATTAGGAGCAAATAAATAACAAATCCTCTAATATCTAATGTCTTCAAATGTTTTTCCTATTTAAGACTGGGCTCCTGATAACTGGGCCTCTCAGTTGAACATAGACTGTCTTTCTTGCCTTGTTTATACAGACACAAGGCAGGTATAATGTGATTCTCTACAAAATACTATTCCTAGCATCTGCTCAAAAGATACAGACAGGTCCAGGGAAGAGGGCTATGGGGATGTTGCATTTTCTGCAGATGTTGTTACTGCCCTCAGCCAGGCCAAGTTCTGACCTTTAGATACTCATAGCCCAAAGTGCACATCCACAGCCTCAGAGTACACAACAGGGCTGGGGGCCTCTGGGCTCTTTTTTTTTTTTTTTTTTTTTTTTTTTCTTTTGAGGTTTTGCCTCATAACCTTGGCTGACCTAGAACTCACTCCTTCTACCTCTGCTACAATTCCAAGTCTGTGTCGCCACAGTTAGCTCTGAAATTCCCTGTGTAGCCTAGGCTAGTTTTGAATTTGCAAAGATTTTCCTGCCTTAGCCTCTGAAGTGTTGGATTATGGGAGCTATCCCCCTGGCTCTTTGGAGTTCTTGTTGGCACCTCCCCTACCCCCTCCCCAGGACAGTTAGCCTGAAGCACCACCCAGAGCTCCTGCTGTTGTCTCCCAACAGTGAACCAGTTGGCATTCTTCCTGCTCTTGATAATTTGCTTCTCATATGAGGTCAGTCCCCATTGTTTGATTGCATTTTAGAGGGGAGAGAGGGGACACCTGTGTGTTACACTCAGGAAGTGTACATCTGTACTCATGTAGTTGGCAGGGTTCCATTCTCTGAGGCAAGGGCCCAGCCTCACAAATGCTGGGTGCCTTTCCCAGGGTGTTCCAGCTCCATACGGCACTCATCTGATGAGGGTTGGAGTGAGAGACAGTTGGTGTCTGATTGGGTTTGGGGTGAGGTCCTGGGAAGCTCCCTGTGGGAAGTGGAGATGCAGCTTCCCCTGGGCTCCCCACAGTATGTTGTGTTACAAATGTTTATGTGGCATTCACCGTTCACTCCAGGTTCTTCATCATTAGCACGCTCTTACCTCCTAGTTACCAGGTGAAGTATGTATCACACACCCATTATACACTGTGAAAACAGAACTGCAGGTAGCTGTAGCACTTGCCCAGAATGACCTGATAGCATGAAATGCCAGATTCCTGCCTGGTTCTTGGAAGCCAGGATTGGTGCTTGGTGAAAGAGAGGAAGAAGACCATTGTTTCCCCCAGACTCTGTTAGAGAGTTTACATGCATAGGAGGAGTGCAGTGTCCTTCACCCCATTCTAGAGTTCAGATTCTTGCTTGAGATATGGTCTAGATGTGTAGCCCAGGCTGGCCTCAAATTCATGATCCTCTTGCCCCAGCCTTCCTTGTGCTGGCATCACAGCTGTGTGACATCACACCTGGCCCCAGAGTTCACAGTTTAGAGCCATCCTTTTGGACAGAGAGGGTACAGTGAATAACAGAGAGCCATAGGCCAGGAGCCAGGGAGGCAGCTCAGCCAGTAAAGATGCTTGCCACCAAGGCTGATGACCTGAGTTCATTCTCCAGGATCCACAGATGAAAAGAGAGACCTGGTTCCTACAGCTTGTCCTCTGATCTCCACCTCCATGCTGTGGCACACGTGTTCACACATACACAAAAATAAATAAGTGAATGGGGTTTTAAGAAAAACAAGGAGCCGTTGGCAAGTTTGCTGTCAATAGGACACCGTGACAGGCAATGGTGCCACTGGCCACAGCTCACCAAGAAGTGTAGGAAGGCATGTAGGCTGCCAGAAGCAGGGACAAGCAGGGTTCACAAAAGCTGAATTCACACAGGAGGAGGACTTTGGAGCATCGTAGAATTGGGGACATTTGTTTAGGAGCAGGCCCCTGTCCACCAGAGTTAGTTCATTGTACTGTGATTGCCTAGGATTTCACAAGCCCCTGAAATGTGGGAAAGAATGTTCTGATTCTCAGTGTACCAAGCAGAAAGGACTCTGTCCAGAGCAGGCAAATTCAGTTTTCTAGACATATCTTCAGTTATCTGGAATGCTCCAGACAACTTGATTTTTCCAATCAACTCAGAGTTTCCATGTTGCAGAGGCAGAGACAGCTGAAGGTGCTCAAGTTTGACAGATGAGAGAGCTCTAAGCAGCCAGATGCACTCAGGACCATCAGTTCTCTACAGCACCTATCATTCAATAGGTGGTAGGCAGGGAATATACACTGAACAGTGTATACTCCTGACCCAGGGCGCAGCTGAAGGGACAGCTGAAGGGTACTTCTGAGCAGGTTCTCACTGACGTCCTGATCTCCCAGGCTGTGTGTTATAGTTGTTTGTTCGTGAGGCTGACAGCTGAGAAGCTGTGTGGGCTGTAATGATTTAGACTGTAACCTCCTGTCCAGTTAGTTACTGGCTAGAGAAATTGCCACTGAGGGTTGAAAGGGACCCAGTCTCTTCTGAGGATGCCTGCCTCTGACGCCTGTATCTAATGGCCAGCCCCAGGCTCACAGCTCCTTCTCTGCTGATGGTGTTATTAGAAGCATTCTTTCTAACAGCGCACTTTTAGTTCCAGCCCTTGGAGGCAGAAGCCAAAGGTTCTCTGCCAGTTTGGGGCCAGTCTCGGCTACATGATGAGCCCCTGTCTTGAAAAACAGGAAGGGAAAAAGGTATGTTCATTCTGTTAAACTGAAGTCCTCCTGGGATCTGCCCTGAGACCGTATGGCTCCTGTCTAGAGTGTGGACAAAAGCTTCCAGTATAGTCCTGTTTGTTCTTGATCCTCAGCCTCCTTTCCTGATGGCATACTCTTGTCTGTAACTTGATATGTTGTATCTAGAATGAAACAAAAAGTTCTGGATAGCCAATAGGCCAGGGCAGGAGTAGGAGAGACCATCAATTCCCTCTAGACTGTGGGTCTCATGGTCACTGATTTGTCGTTCTGTGGTAGGTATTCAGGATGCACAGGGGCCTTCCTAGAGACCAATTCTGGACCATATTTAGAGTGTGACAGGGTGATAGCCTGCTGCCTGAGTTATTCCCTCCTCCTGGTCACGTGTCATCCTCTCTCTGTTGTGTTTCTGGCCTGTGTAGAGGACTCTGGTGTAATGCTATCGCTGGGTGTTTGGATCTGTTCCATGTGAGCCTGTATTTTCCTAGGAAGGGGATGGATTTTTCCATATGGTCAGGGGCCCTGATTTGACCAATCAAGTCGTGTCTCCTTTCTCTGAGGACTGAGGTTCTTTGGAGTGAAGCGGCACACTGACCACTGGCCTGTGTACCTCTAGGCAGTCCTGAGCTGACAGCTGAATGCGGTCTGTGCAGCTTAGTCAGCTGGTGGTGGCCAGGGCTTGCCTAGCTCCTAGTGTTAACTCACATAGCCTACAACACAGAAAGGGAAGGAAGGATGTGAGCTCGGTGGCAGGTCCTCTTCAGGAGAGCATTACAGGGACTGCCTGGCAAGAAGAAACGATGATGTTGGGCCCTGTGGCCTCTCTGGAGGATCTACCTCAAGGAAGGTTTCCTTTCTGGCCTGCCAGAGGGAGTCCTGTACGAGCTAGTCTGGGAGTAGGCCTGTGGCCTGCCCTGGGCCTTGGCTGTAGACACGTTAGGGTAGGCGCCACATCTGTCCCCTTCACTTTCATTCCTTCAGTGTTGGCTGTGGGTACAGATCCCAGGGCTTTGGTGGTGCTGGAGGTCAGACTCAGTTCCTACCTGTGTCATGTTAACAGTCTGGAAAACGCATCATGCCCTTAGCAAGCATTGTCGAGGCCTTCGGTAGGGCCTTGTATGGTCATTGCTGTTCTCCCCACGGCAGGCCCTCAGGAAGCACTTTTCCTAATTCACAGATGAGGAAACAGCTACAGAAAGCTTGAGAAACCTGCCTAAAGCCACACAGCACAGCTCCTAAGTAATAGAAGCATCGCCTGCTGCTGACCCTTTGGGCTCAGGGGTCCATGGCTCTCTGCCCCAACTCCATGCTGTCCTATATCATCAGGAGACTGCAGGGGCGAAGTGGCCCAGCCCCTTCCCTTGCTGGTTTACTCTGAGCGGCCAATCTGCTGACCTGGATGCTTTGCTCTGGACTCTTCACAGCCTTTGTCATCTATAACTTCCTGAGCCTGTGCTATGAGTACCTTGGAGGCGAGAGTGCCATCATGTCTGAGATCAGAGGGAAGGCCATCCAGTGAGTATGACAGCTTTGTAAACCCACCCCTCGTTGTCTGAGATCAGAGGGAAGGCCATCCAGTGAGTATGACAGCTTTGTAAACCCACCCCTCGTTGTCTGAGATCAGAGGGAAGGCCATCCAGTGAGTATGACAGCTTTGTAAACCCACCCCTCGTTGACACCTCACAGCTTGGCAGATGGACATAGAAACCACATCTGTCCCCCGTGCCCTTTCTCCAGTTCTCTCTTGTCCTTCCCTATTTGCGTTTCTCCCTCCTGTGGTTTTTCTCTTCATTCAGTGCTTTCGGGCTGTTTTGTGTGCATTCCCCTTCCACTCCATGCCCTGGCTTGTTTGATGTGGAGGGCAGCCTTTCCCACCCCACCCTTCCCATCTCCCAGCCCTCTCTACTTGCCTCTCCTAGGTCAAGCTGTATGTATGGTACATGCTGCCTCTGGGGAAAGACCTACTCCATAGGATTCCTGCGGTTCTGTAAACAGGTACGTGCCCAGGGGCAGCCCCAGGTCAGGAGGACCGGGCTAGGGACCTGGGTTCAGACCTGTGTCTCTGAGGGCAGTTCCTGTTGCATACTGACCTTGCCTTACCTGTTGGAGGTCCCCTCGCCTCCAGCTGTCCCCAAGCTGATCTGGAGGCACCCAACAGCCTTGGGCCAGAGAAGCTGTCTGGAGTCCGGCTCATTTGGACTGAATCTTGCTGACCAGGAAGCACACAGGAGTTCTAGTCTGTCAGTTTGAAAACTCATGCCTGTGTCTGGGCAAGAGGGTTTGGCATTAAAGATACATAGCAGACAGGACTGTGTGGTCCCTGCCCTCTCTCACATGCCAGTTGGCAGTGCTGCAGCTTCTGGTTTCCTTGGCCTCCGCTGCCTGTCTGGAGTTGAACTTGTAGCTTCTTTGACTATATGACCTCAGATCATTTGCTTAACCTTTGTGAGTTTGTTTGTCCTTTTATAAAATGGGGGTGGCAATACTTATATCAAGGGGTTGGTTACTAAAAGGAACAGATGAGATGTGGGTGTGAGCCTTTAGTACAGCTCTGGCACATTCAGGGAGATGGACTCTGAGGGTGACACACCCAGTCTTCATGACTGTCCTTGGCCTCTGCAGGCCCTTTGTCAGTCGCTCAGGCTCGACCGAATAATGAAGAGAGACATGCTTCCTCCTGCTCCCCCCGCCCTCCCCAGCCTATCCTAGTGTTTCCCAGCCTCTGTGAACTCAGCTACTAGCTCTGCTTCCTGAAGGAGGCTCAGGTCTCTCTCATAGAGTGTCCTAGAAGTGGTTAAAACTGTCCTAGTCCAGGGTGGGGCTTGCAAAGCCTTTGTTTACATGGTTCAGCCACCCAGTCCAGACCTAGCTATGACTCATAGCTGCTTTTGATCATTACATTGTCCTTAAAGTTTGGCTCTTAAGAGCAGAGCAGAGGCCTCACCTTCGCTATCACCGGGTGCAGATCATTCCCTAGCCTACGGGCTCTGAGGCTTGCTGTTGAACTTTGACATGGCAGACTCACAGTGAGAGGAAAGTATGCTCCCAGCAGGCACCCCCAGTGTTGATAGTGTCTTTGTTCTAGAGCCGTGGGTGGACCAGGATGTCCGTGGGCCCAGAGCCCAGTGTCTGAGTCTTTCTTTCGGAACACTTGTTAAAAGTGGAAATTCCTGGGCTTGGGCTGCAAAGTGGTGGAAAAGCACTTGCCTCACACGTGTGAGGTCCTGGGTTTTGTCCCTGGTACTGCTAATGATGGGGGAGGGGGCAGGACAGGGAAAGGAGAGAGGAAGGGAGGGAAGTAGAACTTTTTGGATCAGTGACCCCTAGGCCAGCCCAACGAGGTCTAGGAAGGACTGCCCACTCCTGGAACTGACATGTGACTTTGACATCTAACCTGGTCTGTGGCTCTCAGACTGACCCATGGTGTGAGCTGACAAAGGCTCTGGGGCCTGCTGGCTTGGACTCCAGTCCAAGTGCAGCTCTCTGCCTCAGTTTTCTTGTCTGTGACTGGGGTGTGAACCCCTGCTCTCCCCTCCCTGAACTCCCTCTGGGTGGAAATTTGCAGCTCAGGGATTCTGTGAGGGTTTCTGGTAGCAGCACACAGCTCTTCTGGCACACACTCCTCTGCCAGGGCTCTGCCATGGCACAGGCCAGGTCCTCAGTGGGGCAAAGGTGGGTTCCCAGGCCGCCCTTCTTCTCCAGGCACTGGCCCTATCCAGAGCCACACTGGCCAAGCCACATGGCTAGAGTTTGACATGCCCACTCCTTTACTCGGGGCTTCTGGGTGAGGTAGAACACTTTGAGGTCAGTGGGATCCTGTGGGTGGTATGGACACCCCACCAGATTGTGGGAACTGTAGAGCCTGGCTTAGCACATTCTCCCAGGTCTAAGAAAGTTTGGAAAAGCCTGATTGTACATAGAATAGACAGCCTCAAGAAGACACTGCTATCTGGCCCTTCCATCCCCATATTTGCAACCGTGTGCTATGGGTATGGGTTATGTTAATATTTACCCAGATGGCTGCCACTGGAGACCAGGTGATTGCCTGAGAGACTACAGTGAATAGCTGACTAGGCCTGAATCCCCACATGCCTTTCAGGGCTCCCACGCATTAGAGGGATGTCCTCTCCCCATTTACTGCTCTTGAAAGCTATCTCCAATGTACTCAGACCCCGGCTCCATAGAAACCCTGACCCAGGCCAGAACATGGGTTGAGGAAGCAGAGGCCATTGTCCTCACCCACTCCCTGTGTGGCCAACTCTTCATTAGAGCTCATTTGCTCAGGGCATGAGGTCTAGCACCTGTTACTCTTCCCAGCCACCTCCTAGCTGTAATCTCTAGAGCCCACTCCCTGTACTTGTCCACACACTGCCCTGTGTGAGCCTCTGCCTGGATCCTGCCTCTGTATTGTCCTGAGGGCCCCTTACCGTCTTAGCTGTTTCTGAGGTGTCTTCTACTCCTGGTCCACTGGGCCTTATATTGAGTCCCCAGCATCATCATGTCTCCTTACACATCCTGCCTCCCCCTGTGCACAGTTCCCTTTTTCTCCTTCCTAGCAACCAGCATAGTCCCAGCTGCCAGAACCGGTGCTTTCCCACATAACTACTTTATCCTGTCTTGTTTGTTTCCCAAACAGGCCACCCTACAGTTCTGTGTGGTGAAGCCACTCATGGCTGTCAGCACCGTTATTCTCCAGGCCTTCGGCAAGTACCGGGACGGGGACTTTGAGTAAGCAGGCTTTCTCCCCTGGGACTTATGGGTATATTGGCACGAGGTTGGGTACCCTACCTGGACAGAGGACATACCTGTGCTGTGATTTTCCAAATTACATGGGGCTCAGACCTCTGAGCTGGAGCCTGGCAATAGCCATCTTGCACTTGGTCCTGATGCCAGCTTTTAGCCAGTCATGTCCATGTTCATACTTGAGATGTATGGTAATAACCATGGCTAAGTCTCAGAAAGTAGTGGTTACTCTAAGACAGGTTTTGAAAGTGAAGGAGCCCTGGGAAGCAGTCTTCAGCCCCGGATGTGAAGACCCCGCTGTGTCAGCCGGCCACCCCTTTTCCCTTGTGGGTTAGTCAAAGTGTCCTTACACCTGGCCCTGTGTTGTGAGTTCTTACTGCCTGTAACATGTACCATAGCCCACCTAGGCAGATGAGCATACTGAGGTCAGGAGGAGAGAGCAAAGCAAGCTTAAGGGTACCCACTGTGACCTTTGGCCTCCAGCATAGCCCTGGCTTCCCTCTAGTGTCCTCCATTAAGAATGGGTTTTGAGCAGGCCCACCGTGTGAATGAATGAAGTGGTAGAAGACTGGCCTGCCCACAGGCACACCCTTGTAGCACATTCCCAGACCTCTCCCTCCAGTGGTTCATTGTGCCTTGTTGCACAGCATAGCTGTGACCCATGGGAACAGGTGGGCAGGGCAGAGGAGGGAGCAGTCTGCCCTGGCAGGGTCTGTCCCAGCCACAGCATGCCTGTTCCACAGTGTCACCAGTGGGTACCTCTATGTGACTATCATCTACAACATCTCAGTCAGCCTGGCCCTTTACGCCCTCTTCCTCTTCTACTTCGCCACACGGGAGCTACTCAGTCCCTACAGCCCTGTCCTCAAGTTCTTCATGGTCAAGTCCGTCATCTTTCTCTCCTTCTGGCAAGGTGAGCCTCCTCTCAGCCTGGCACTCAGCCCCTGTTCCCACTTCCATTTGAGTCAGTTTCCCACACCTGTTTAATGTTCCCAGAACTGTGGGTCCCATGCCAGACTCCTTTATCTCTTGCCCTGGAAATCAGAGATACTTTGGCCATTGGGCATTTAGGAGGGGTGAGGCTTGCAGGAAACTCCAGCGCAGCCTTGTATAGTTAGTAATGTCCCAGTTTTCTGACTGACAGGTAACTGAGAGAATTGGGTTTGTCATCATCCTTGCCTACAGGAGCAAATGAGCCTTACTGTAGCCTGTAGTGTTTGGTGCTGCATGAGTGAAGGGCATGGGAAGGGTCCAGTGTGTGACCAGGCAGTGCTTCTCCCTGAGCAGGTATGCTGCTGGCCATCTTAGAGAAGTGTGGGGCCATCCCCAAGATCAACTCAGCCCGTGTGTCAGTGGGCGAGGGCACTGTGGCTGCTGGCTACCAGGACTTCATCATTTGTGTCGAGATGTTCTTCGCAGCCTTGGCCCTTCGGCATGCCTTCACCTACAAGGTCTATGCTGACAAGAGACTGGATGCTCAAGGTATGAGCCAGGTTCCTGGGGCAGGACTCCAGCCTCATGAGGTCAGTTCCAGGCCCTCCTACCACCCACCATCTTGTCTTCTGAAAAGGGACTAAAGAGGTCAGAGCATAAGGGCTGTCAGAGCCCAGAGGGACCCCCTTTAGGTTCCTAGTGTGGAGACCCACAGATGGTATGGAAGGGCGTATACCTATAATCCCAGCATTCAGGAGCCTGAGGCAGGAGGGTACCATGAGTTCGAGAAAAGGAAGTTGGGACAGAGACTAGTGAACAGACATCACTGTGTGGAGTCTGCTCTGTCCTGTTGTCTGCTGAGAGTCTCCAAGGAAGCTGCTTCCCTGTGAGAAGCAAAGTCAGGGTACATAGCCTTGAGAAGCCTTCTGGTGCAGCTGTCTGAGAAAGTATCGGCCAGAGGGGCAGAAGGCCTGTTCTGAGGGCAATGCCCAAGGCTGGCATCCACAGTGAGGAACTGTAGGGGCTAAAGAGGAGGCCTTCTGTCCAAGGCATCTGTTATCTAGTCGCTGTCAGCTTTCTCCATGGCTGGAGACCAGACAGCCTCCTTCCGCAGGCTTCAGTGTCCACCACAGGTCCCTGTGCTCAGCATGGAGAGTCTTAGGGATCCACAGGCACAGGACTCCATGCCCAGGTCCTCTATTGCCTCTGTCCTGGTTGGGAAGAAACTTTGAAATGCTGCTGCTGGACTATGCTTTCTGCCACACTGTGGTGCTCCAGTTGCCACGATGGTCCTTGATGGCATCCATACTCTGTGCTGAGCCACTTGCTGGCTGGTACCTATTGCTTCCTGGTGGGAAAGGTCTGGTAACACTCGTCTATGTCTCTTAACCCTGGTTTAACAGGCCCAGGGCAGGAGCCAGGCCACTTACAGGGCAAACTGGCTTATCTATAGCTGATGCTTGCTGTTTGTGGAGGCTCTCCAGGACCTGGTAACCTAGCTATCTTTCCATATACTACCCTCAGACAGCACCCTCCATTAGATGCACCCCCCAGAAGAAACAGCCCACCCAGGACAAGCTGCTGTTGGTGTGGGCAGTAGTCCATCCTCTTAACCATAACCATGGCACCCAGTTCCTCCCAGCTTCACATTAGGCTGGGGTAAAAAACCAGTTCTGCTCTGTGATCATCCTCTGAGCCTCGATTTCTAGATCTGTGCAGAGGAGTGAGCTTTTTGAGGCACAGTGCTCCATCCAGTTGTAGCTCTAGCAAACCCTGGGAGAAGTGGGGAAGAGGCCCTGCCTCATGTGGGATGGGACGTCACTGCCATTGAGATGATCCCTTAGCATGAGCACTGTCCTTCAGGTGCAGCCAGAGCAGCCTGGCTGTCTGGGGATACTGGTGGGGGGGTTGTCACTGAGCCTGGGGTGGGCAGGCAATTTACACTCAGCTGTCTCTTGTCTTCTCTATCCCTCTGGCTTCTTTCCTTGCCCCTTTACCCCGCATTTGCCCTGGGTTTGGTCTCGGGCAGTGCTGACATACGGCCCATACGGTAGGTCTGCTGTCTGCTCTGTCTGCACGTCTGTCCTGCACGTCTGTTTGGTCCTGTCATTGGCATGCCTTTCTGTGTGGCTCCTCTGTGTACCAATCTCCTCCCAGCTCGCACTGCTGCCTAAGAGGGCTGCCCTTTGTAGAGCTTGGCTGCCTTCATTCCATTCTTTAATTTTGAAATACACCGTGCTAGGTTCTGGGGCACAGTGCCCACCAAAGGGATGGCAGGGGCATTTGTCAGTGTTTTGGAGACAGGGCCCCCAGAGGGTGGAGAGACTGAGTTCCAAGTCGTGGGGTTGAGTTCATCCCTCCAGCTTGGCTTGGTGACCTGTACTGTGCTCCCCCCCACCCCTATCCTGTAGGGCACATCTTCAAATGGGTGAGTTGGAAACATACCAAGGCAGCGAGTTCCAGCCCTCTTAGAGGGAAAGCCAGCAGGGCAGCCTGCTCCTGGGAGCCTCTGGTCCCTGGTCCAGCATCCCTCACAGGGGGAGGCCATAAGCCTGGCACTGAAGCTTAGGGTGTTCCAGGTGACTGCCTGCGGCTTTCCCAGTTCTGCCCCTTCTACCTGTGAGCATCTTTCCCAGGGGTGGCTTTCCTCTGCCCTTCATCTTCACTTCCTTCACAGCTCTCCCTGTTCACTCCCAGTCAGCAGCAGCTCTGTTGTCCTGTCCCCTTTCATGTCTCAGAAAGAGGCAAATGAACAGGAGCATTGGGGGGGGGGGTCAACTCAGGAGTAGGGGCAGAGACTGATCAAGCTTCTCTCTTCCTGCTCTGGCCTTTGCCCCCCATTCCTGACTCCTCCCTGCAGGCCGCTGTGCCCCCATGAAGAGCATCTCCAGCAGCCTCAAGGAAACCATGAACCCACACGACATTGTGCAGGATGCCATCCACAACTTCTCACCTGCCTACCAGCAGTACACGCAGCAGTCTACTCTGGAGCCTGGGCCCACCTGGCGAGGTGGCACCCATAGCCTTTCCCGGTCCCATAGCCTTAGTGGTGCCCGTGACAATGAGAAGACTCTGTTGCTCAGCTCTGATGATGAGTTCTGAGAGTGGACACTGTTGGGGAAGGACAGGTGCCTCCTCTAGCCTCCAGCCAGGCTGGGGAGCAGCTAGCACAGTGTTGCTGTTGCCCTTTTATTTATTGGACCAGAAACACTTGCATATCACTTCCAGAGGAACAAGCCTCAGGAATGTGTCTACATGGCCAACCCTTCACTACCCAGGGCAAGAGCAGAGAACACTGGCTGGAGCTGCCACACCTCTGCTGCCCATCCTGTACTGGGGACACATCTGGAACCAGCCATGCCTGGGCCCAAATGCTTGTGTGTTGGCCAGAAGCTGCATCCTGAGCCCCCTCCCCAACAAGACATCTGCCAAGGCTGTCAGGCTCAGCCCACCCCACATCGTGCAATACTCAGACCTGATCTGATCTTCCCACCTGCCTGCCCTTCCCTGTTCATTTTTGCCCAGTGTGAGGTTTGTCTCATTCTGGGCAAGGGATGACATGAATGTTCTGCGGACCCTCCCCTTTTCCCAGCCTAGGCCTGCCTAGCATGCTGCAAGGATCGGAGCCAGACCCCAGGAGCCTCAGGGCCCATCTAGGAAGGATACCTCCGTGCCTGTGTGCCCTTGGGTGTTCTCATCATGACCACTTCTTCTGCCTCTTGGCTCTTCTGGTCTGCTGAGGACAGCCAGCAGCCTACAGTGCTCTCTCATTTGGGTCCAGTTCTTGATAGTTTGGGGCAGAGTCCCCCTATCCTTTCTGACTGTGCCAGGGCTTGGGTTCCTCAATGGAGCAGTTAGACTCCTGCTGGGTCCTGGGAAGTCTGAGTGTCTATATCTCCCACTTCCAGCCCACTTCCAGAGGAGGCTGGGGGATGGTTACGCAGTGCGGGGTAAGGCAGGGGTGGTCTTAGACCCTCCTGGGTCCCCTGGCCATCCATGTAGGACCTGGTGTTCCACTTCCTCTGGCCCCCGGCCCATCTCTTCTGTGCCTTAGTCACATATGAAAGCCCTCCCCAGTCCCCAGTCTGTCCCAGGCACTTCCTTGTTGAGCTGCAAGCACTCAGGACTCTGCGGGGCGGGCAGGCACTGGGTCAGGTGCCCTTGTCTAGGACCACCTGTTCTCCTGACTCCCTCTGCTCTCACATCTAGAGCTGTCCGAAGGGCTGGAGCCTCCAAGGTAGGGTGGCAGAAGACCTGGCAAGTGGAATCCATGTAGCACTTAGGTGTGGCTTCAGCAGCCTCTTGAGGTAGAAGAGCCCTGCCTTGTGGCCTTCACTGGAAGCTCTCCCTCTGGTCATTTCTGGAACAAACAGGTTCCTTTCTTAGGGTCCATGGGAAGGGCCCTGATGGGGCTGTTGCATCCTAGCAACCTTCATAGCTTCCTTCCTGTGCATGTGGGATGCCAGAGGGCAGCTCTCAGCTCCACCCAGTAGGCCTGGCCAGCTGGTTCCCAGCTTGCCCAGGAAGGCAACTGACAGGTGGGAGCTCCTTGAGGTGTGGCCATGGCGTTCCTCCCTCCCCCCAACCGGGGATTGCTCCCACCAGACTATTTCTCAGACTGCCCTTCTTTCCAGGCCAAAGTATGTTGCTGGTTCCTGTCCCCACTGTTCCCTGCCCACCCTGGCACTTGCCTGCTGTTTTGAGGGTAAAGCTGGGGGTGGGTGGGCTCAGTGGCAGGAAGCTGGTGGTCCTTGGGAACATAGAACAGGAACCTGCACCCAACTCCCCATTCTTTCTTTCTAGGATGCATAACCTATCTTGTCTCATTTCTTTTTTATTTTTTTTCCAGATAGAGTAGCTCTTTGTACATAAAAGAAAATACTTGAAAATTAATTGTATGATGTATGAGAAGACAGAGCCCCCTAGTTTTGTATCTCGTCGTGTGACTGCCGTGCGTTCCATCAGAAAGCCGCTCTATTTTGGTCTCTCTGATATTTTAAATGCGTGAGAGAAGCAAGCAAATAAAGTCAGGAAGAAATATATGTATACATATATATATATAAATATGAGATAATATAGATTGTATCAAAATCTCTTCTGCCTGCCAGTGAGGTTTTTTTCCTGCCCCCTTTTTGTCTGGAAAAAGTGTAGTGGCCCTGGGCAGGGCATTCACCCTCCTCTTCCTGTGTTCACTGTGTATGTAAGTTATGGGGGGGTGTTTACATTTTCTGGGACTGAAATCAGATTCCACATCCCTAGTGGACGTTTCTTCTTTCTTCACAGACAACTGACAAGAAAGTGTTCACCCTTTCCCCCATCCCCATATGAGCTAGGCCTCATTCCCTGTTTTATTAGATATCTCCCAGAAGATCAGGGACCCGTGTTGGCTCCTCTGAGCCCTTTCTCTGTCCTTAAGAACCAGGAGGCCTAGGGCAAGAGTACCAGGCCATGGGTACCTTCCCTAAAGGCACCATGCCTTTCTTAGGTCTGGCCCATGGATGACAGGCATGGCTGGAATGAGTGTAGGCGGAGGAACGTCCCAGGCAGCATATAACCCAAAGGTAAACAGTCTGTATAATCTGTGCACCCCCACATCCACTCACCATGCCTTCCTGCTGCCAGGCCTGATGAAGTCTTGGCACAGCCCCAGTTTGAGGGGAGACAGTTCTGTTGGTCCAGCCACATGGTCTGTCCTTTCCCTACACTCCAACTTTGTCCCTTTCCTTGGTCCCTCTCCCTCCCTGACCAGCCACATACAAGGTCCTGGCCATAGTCCTATGGACTATCATTTGTGCAAGCCCTTCTGCCGTCCTTAGACCATACCTCTATAGCACCTTCATTTCAAAGGAAACTGGAGTAGTAAGAAACTAGTTAGTACCAGCCAGAAAAGACCCCAGTTCCCCTGGCTGAAGACCAAAGTATTCCACTCCTTACCGCTCAGGGCAGTTAATTCTCCCTTCTAAGACCTAAGATTAAGGTTGAGGCCTGCTGGCTAGAACTCGGCAGTCCACTTCCCTGGGCCTTCAAATACACTGGGAACTAGGTCCCACTGGGCTGTAGAAAATCAGACCTGTGTGTGAAGTAGTAGACAGTTTGAAAACCCAGGACTTCTCTCTCTCCCTGGGACTGTACAGACTATGAGCACAGCTTTTCCTCGCCCAGTCTCCACCCACACCAGCTTGCAAAAGCCAGCCATGGGATTTAGCCTCCCATGACCCAAAAGTGGTCTCAGGCCACTCAATCAGAGCACACACAGAACACTTCAGGACACTTCTCTGTGGAAAAGAACTTGACTTTATTCAGAAAGTCTGCAAAATACTCAAGGCAGATAACTGGCTCACTTTTAAGTCAGAAAATAAATAACTCTGGGAGCTGGGCATTCTTTTTTTTTTTTTTTTTTTCTTAAAAAAAAAAAAAACCAAAAAAAAAAAAAAAAAAAACCTTACTGTTGTTGCCACCCACCCAGCTCTCCCTAAATATAAGATTAAATGTGATTTACTTGTAGATATAAAATATAAAGTCCAGCTCAGCACCCACATATTTCCCAGGGAAGAGAAGCTGGGCTCTGGCTGGTTAGAATAACTTAGATCTGTGCAATAAATAAGAGTGTGAGAGTTCAGCTGTATACAGTAGTGGGGAGGTGCTAGGGCCAGACTTCCCAGGGAACCAATGGTCAGCCCCCATACTACCACAGATACTCAGGACCAAAGTAGAAGACTTAATTCCAAGGGACCCCTTTTCTCCATTTCCTGCATCAGGACCATAGTGTCTCTCTCCACTTACCACAGAGGTCATCTCCATTGCCCCTTCTCTGGCTGGCCAGCTCCTCAACCTCATCCCATGTGTCACCTTCTCTTTCCTTTAGCTTCTTCCCCCACCACACAGACAAAGGTGTCCCAGGCCAGAGCGGCCCTCCTACGACTTTGTTCCCCTTGTGAAGTCAGTTCATGGTTGGAATGTTAGAGCAGCAGTGAGAAGGCCTCATTTTGGGCAGCAGCTCAATCACTCAGTGCTGTGTGGCCTTGGGTCGTTTCTCTTTGACAGCTTCCCCATCTGTCAACTGAGCTTCACTGGTCATTCCAAAGACTTTCAGCTTGGGAAAGCCTGACATTCCTAGGTCTCAAGCAGACTTGGGCAGTCTCTTGAATTCTGCTTCCCAGCAGGGCAGCCCCCACGAGATCACACCTAGTCCTAAATCCTGGGAGGGTTGGAAGGACACACTGGTACAATCCAAAGCCTCTCCTGCTAGCTCTTTTCTGGGCCATCTCTACATAGACCACCTCCTTCCAATCTGAGATGGATTTTCAGCCCAAGGAAACCCAGAACCGCAACACCCTCCCCACAACTTAGCACAGTCCCTCCCCAGGGCCATCGGGTCCCAGTCTGGGGCCTGTAAGAGTTAAAGAGTCCAGGAAAGGAATGTGAAGTCACCAGGCTGGGTAGCAGCCGCAGAGAAATGGGACGGGAACAGGAACGCTCAGGCACTTTGGGAAGGGAGTTGGGTCGGAGGGGCGTTGCGCAGGGCGGGGGGGGGGGGTGTGACGACCGACACGGGTACTAAGTGCAGGGGGCGGGATCTGGAGTGGGGGAGGGACCTGGCGCCGACTTGACGATGGTAATGACGCTGGCAGGAGCCACCAGTGCGGTGGGTCCGCGGGCTGCGGCCACCGAGCGTGCGAAGCCCTGCAGTGCCTCACATTTGCCGCGCAGCGCATCGAGCTCCAGGCGCATGGCGGCGTTCTCGCGCGCCAGCTTGTCCACCTCACGCTCCAGCTCCGACTTCTGCTTCTGCAGCTCCTCCTTCTGGCACACGCGCTTCACACGGCAGCTGGCCGCATAGCCGCGGTTCTTGAGTGTGCGACGCCGCTGCTTCAGTCGTGTCACCTCCTCCGCTGACAGACCTCGAAGGTTCCGGTTCAGCTCGCGCACCGACAACCCCATCAGCGCCTCATCCGACAGGTGCGGGGTGTTCTCGCTCAGCTCGCGCTTAACCTGTAGGAAAACAGACATGTTACCGCTGGTACTGAGGATGCAGTCCCACTTCCAGTAAGCCCTCCCTGCCCGTTTTGGCGGTTACTGGACTTGAGCCAAGACCTTGAAGGTGACAGGGACCAGCATCAGCACATAGGAGGCTACCCAGGGCTCAAACTAACCAAGCATCAAGTCCTGGACCCAGCTGAGAAACCCAGCCTGGAAAGCCCCTTTCAATGGGGAAAGCAGAGTTAGGGGGAAGTGAGCTGCTCCTGTAGCCCCTTGATGCTTGGCTCTCTTCGGGGCTTCCAGGAAGGAAAGGGGAATTGGGAGCAGTGGAGAGATAGCAGGAGCTAGTGCCTCACCTTCAGGGCTTTGCTGGATAAGGGATCTACAGACATTTTTGCAGAAGGTCTCTGGGTTGGAGACCTAGGAGAAAAAGAAGCTGACAGTCATCTTAGTTGTTTTGTGTATGTCTTAACATCCAATCTCCATACCCTGGCATTGAAGGCTCCTATCTCAGAATTCAGACCCTACCTCCTCTGACCCCATCCAGCTCCCCATAGTGACTCATTATCTAGCTCTTTGCCCAATGCCACCTCTTCAGAGAGGTCCTCTCTGACCACCAACCATCCCAGCTGATGGTTTGACCCTCCCTCCCTGTTCTCCAACAAAGTGCCTGCCTCACCACACCAAGGTGGGTGCCTGCACATGCCAAGTCCTCAACAACCGGTTGAACCAAGGGTGTGGGCGCTCCTCCTTTTGACAGTTCTCCCGCATGGGGCCAGGGCATGCATGTTTTGGTTAGTTTCAATTGTATGTAGTAGTTCAGTGCGCCAGAGCCATGACAATTGTGTGGAGGTCAGAGGATAAATTGCAGGAGTCTGTTTTTTCCTTCCACCTGTGGGTTCTAGGGCATCCATCTAAGATCCTTAGGCTTGGTAGCAAGCTTCTTTAACCACAGCGCAATCTCACCATGTAACCCAGGCTGGCCTCAAACTCCCTATCCTCTTGCCTCTGCCTCTGAAGTGTCTGAAGTCCATCCCCCCTCAAGATACAGCACTCAAGTGTCCACCCCAGCAGCATTTGTCCAGGGAAGGTCATGTTTTGGGAAGATTTCCCAATCTGCCTGGAGTCTGCCCACCAGTAACTAACTCTCCATGGCCCTGGAGGGAATAGCAGCTATCTCTAGCATAATGTCTACCCATTGCCCTGGAAGCCTCACATTCCTTCAATGACCAGTTCCTGATTAGCTAGTTTGCCACGTACCTACTAGCACTGGGGAGACAGGTGAACTTTTAAAAACTGGTGGAGGGAGGCGGATATGGTAGTGCACACCTGTATCCAGCAGTTGAGAGGTAGCAGATCAAGAAAGACTTAATGCCACTGATGGCCACATAGCAAGTTTGAGGCCAGCCAGGGTTACATGAGACCCTGTTAAACAAGTGCTCTCAACCACAGAGCCTTCTCTCCAACCCCTTTCCTTTCTTTTTGAACTGGGGATTGAACACATGGTACACAAACATGCATGCAAGACAAAATATTCATGCACAGGAAATATGTTAAAAATTTAAAAGGGCACCAGGCCGTGGTGGAGCACGCCTTTAATCCCAGCATTGGGGAGGCAGAAGCAGGTGGATCTTTGTGAGTTTGGGGCAAGTGAGAGGCTACGGGTTTGGATTCCCCAAACCCATGTAAATACAGAATACCTGTAATCCTAGAATGGGAAGGGGTGACGATGGGATCCCCAGGGCAAGCTGGCTAGCTAGGCAAACTGAACCAGGAACTCTGAGTTCACACATAGCCACAAGTAATCAACCAGGAACTCTGAGTTCACACATAGCCACAAGTAATCAAAGAGGACACTCAGTGCCAACCTCTGGCCTCCACACACACACACACACACACACACACACACACACACACACACACACACTTGTACCCTGCCTGCATGCTAGCACCCACAGGCACACACATCTGGCCCTGAGTCTTCAGACTCACATACATGTACATCTTGCTCAGTGTCTGCCCTGTGAGGAGGTCCCCTCTCCAACAGCAGGACCCTTGTTAAGTCCTCTGTGGTTCACCCCAGGGCTTAGAACTGTCTGGCCAGAGAAGGTGCTTGTGTGGCAACTGTGGAATTCTTAGTTGTGACTCAGGCCAAGGTGGGGACAGTCTGGGGCCTCTGAGGAACTCCCACTGGCTGGTGGAGCAGCTCAGACAGCAGGAAGGAGTGGGGAAAAGGGAAGTTGGCCATTCAAGACTGTGTTGACTGACACAGCTACTGTGGCCCCAAGGCTAGGAGGGTCCTATGGGGCCTGCAGGGGAGTAGCTGCATAGGGCACAGATCCCAGCATCAGGGATCAGACAGGAGGGTCAGGAGCCCAAGTCATCCTGTTAGATTATGAATTCAAAGCCAGCCTAGGCTATATGAGACCCTGCCTCAAACAAAACAAAACTAAAACTAATAAAGAACCACTAGGTCAAGCATGAACACACACCCTTTAATCCCAAGATTGGGGAGGCTGAAGCGGGAAGATCACAATTTTTAGTCCATCCTTGGATAAGCACCAAGTTCAAGCAAAATCCTATCCCTATAAAACAAAAAGCCACCATGCTCTCCTACCATGTGGCTGGAAACTGTACCTGGGGCACAGACCAGGACTTGGGCAGTTCTAGACTTCCTGTGCTGACTCCACAGGAGAGCCTAGAAATTTTTTTTGATCCTCCTGCCTCAGTTACTGAGTACTGGGATTACAGGTGTGGGCCACTATATCTGGTTGCAGTATCATTTCTTAAAAAGTACCCTGCCTGAGCCACATACTATGGTGGGGGTGGTATTTGTCCATCAAGAAGAATCTGACATGCCATGACCCACATGTCACCTCCCGTGGGTCCCATTGGTCCCCACTAGCCCTAAGCCAAGGCTCCAGGCACCATGCAGTGCTTTGGGCAGGCCTTGTGCCCAGTCACTAGCCTGCTTCTATTCTGCCTCTAGCCTGGAGGAATCTTTCACTTCCTTTCCACTCCTGCCCTCTAACCCCGAGTCCCCCCCCCCCACCTCTCCAGTTTCCCCTCAGCTTGTGTGCTAGGTCCCTGTTCACTCTCTGTCCCTACGGTAGGAAGCCTCCCTGACCCATAGGTCTTGCCAGGTCCCTCTGTCCCCCAGCCCTTCTTAACTTAGCCTTTCTCTCCCTTGGTGGTATAACCATCCATTTCCTTGTTGTCCCTATATCAGACAGCTGAGTCAGCCCTGGGTGTTTGAAGCTGCCCAGCCAGGGCCCAACATGGGCAGGGAACAGGCAATGGGCGTGTGGGTGGGTGGAGTCTCTGTCATGGTCACCCAGCTGATCATTGTCCCTGCCAAGTTCCAAGACCAGCTTAGGGGAACATGGTGTGAGTGAAACCTATTAGCCTCCACATCCTTCTCCTTGCCATCTGCCAAGCAGATGTCACAGGTGCCAGGAGAATTGAAGCAAACACAGGGACCCCACCCATGTGACCTTTGGTCCAGATCAGGGCTTGGGAAGCAAGGAAAGGGGCTCTGGCTGAGAAACAAGCCCAGAGTTTAAGTCCTGTCCATGTTTTCTCCAGGCTGTGCAACCTGGGGAGAACTACTTCACATCTCTGGTCTCTACTATCCCATCTGTAGAATGGGACAGTTTCTTCCACAGTTTTAGCAGAAGCTTGTCATATAAACATAAGGGCAGAGGTGGTCTGGCATCTTAGTAAAACTGCTGAGCCTGACCAGGTGTCTGGGCTACAATCAGCTTTGGGAGCTTGCTCTGAATCAGCATAGCCAGCCAGGTTCACTACAGAGCAGCACATAGGAAGGGCCCTAGAGACCAGTCCAAGAGGAAGTAGTGATCCAGAGAGGAACATCACTTGCTAGAAGGCACACAGCAGCCTGTCTGCAATCCAGGCAGAATTCTCAAGAGGTTTTTTGTTTTTTGTTTTTACCCTTCATTTTTTGAGACAGGGTTTCTCTGTGTAGCGCTGGCTGTCCTGAACTCACTTTGTAGACCAGGCTGTCCTGGAACTCACAGAGATCCATCCCCCTGCCTCTGCCTCCCCAGTGCTGGGATTAAAGGTGTACAACATCACTGCCAGGGTCAGGACTGACTCTTGATCCCTTCTTTCCATCATCTTCATAGTCTTCTTGATAACAATATCAGATAATGCCCAAAGAAGGTGACGGAGGGGACACAGCCACACAGGGCAGAGCCTAGGACTGAAGCCACACTGAGCCAGACACTTCCTCACAGTATGTCCTTGGAACAGCTTCTTCTATAAGCCGTTTCCTCACCTGGGTAGAGGAAGCCACTTCACCTGTGGTGTGTGCCTGGACCTTGTTTAGGTCAGCTAGGGATGGGATATGCAAATGACACCAAACAGCCAGGCCTTCTTGCCAGTTGTGTGGAGCCAGACTGGTTGGGGTACTTGCTTGGTCAAGGGACCTGGTGGAAGAAGGGGGCCTCTCCCTGCATACGTTAACTAAGGACCTGCTAGGTGCCCGGCGCTGTGCCTGGTCCAGAACTCAGTTTGAGGCCAGCCCGGTCTACAGAGTGAGTTTCAGGACAGGCATGGCTACATAGAGAAACCCCGTCTCAGAGAACAAAACCAAGCAAAATTTCCAAAGCCTTAGTTTTCCACTGAACCTTCACATGGCCTCAGAATCCTCCATATAGTCAGTCCCCCAAGAGGTGGGACTGCAGCCATGCTCTACCCAGGGGAGGAGGCTGGGGCCTGCCCATCTTCCTCTCTCCCACCAACCCCCATTCTAGCCTCAGGCCCCTCAGTGGCATCCTCAAACTCCATGGAGGCCCACATTTGCCCAGGAATGTCCTAGCTCAGCAGTCAGAGTCACAGAGGGAATGTCCCAACACGAGAAGGGGGAATTTTTCCCATCACCTTTGGCTGTCAGCTTCTAGCAGCAGGCCCCAGTTTGTAGGACACAAAGCAAGGAGACTCCATTGCCACCAATCTGCCTGATCCAGGGACCCCACCCTCAAGCCTTTTCTTCTTCCTGGGGAAGCCAGCAGGGCCAACTCCAGGTCTGAGGTTCCTAGTATTCTTTGGAGACTCAGGAGTGAGCTCATTCTTGGGGACATGATGGCTGACCAGCCAGAGGCCATGGCCTTCCTGTCCCTGTCTCTGGCCCCTCAGCTGTACCCCCGAGACATCCTGCAGATGGCCCACCCACTGGCATGGGCTCCTCTCTGGCTGCTGAGCCATACTGCTTACTTGGTGAGGACAGAGGGAAAAAATGTGTTTGCTTGGGTCTTGGCAGTAAGCACAGGGCGCCTCCTCCCTGCTGGAAGGGCGCAAGACTGGGAGAACTAGCAGTGGGGGGGGGCAGCCTGGGGTTCCAGCCCCATTCTGCTACCCACACTCTCACTGCATTTGTCACTCCCTTTCTCTAGGCCTGGATTTCCCAACATGCTCAACCTCCCCTGACTCTAAGGTACCAACCACCCAGTCAGTAAAGGCAATGTCTGAGTTTATACTGTCAGATTCTGGCCCACTGGAAATCTCCAAAGCCTTCAAAGATGGAGGAAAGGGAAAGAAACCAGGGAAGGCTTCCTGGAGGCAGAAGCATTAGAGTACAAGCAGTCAGGCTATGAGCTCTGACCTCCTTTCTCCTCCACCTGCACAGCTAGGGTTCCCTTCCTCTTCCAGCCAGACCCAGACCACAGTGGCTTTACCACTGCCTTACCCCTCCTCTGCTTCTACCTCCACCTCCAGTAGCATCAGAGGGGTCACTAGAGGCACAAACCTACAAACTTGACCATGTTTGGCAGGTTTTGAGACCTTGTGCTAGTCGGATGTGGTCACACACACCATGATGGCAGCCCTCAAGAGGCAGAAATAGGAAGACCAGAAGTTCAAAAACCAGCTCAGGCTACATAAGACCCTGTATCACAAAACAAAAACAAAAATAGGGCTGGAGAGATGGCTCTGTGGTTAAGAGTACCTACTGCTCTTGCAGAGGACCTGGGTTCTGGCCTCAGTATCAAGTCAAGTGGATCATATCCACCTGTAACTACAGTTCCAGGGATCTGACATCCTCTGGCCTCCACAGCCATCTGCACACATGTGGTACACATAAATTCACTAAGGCACAAACACCTATGTAAATAAAAGTAAACTTTAAAAAAATCTTTGGGAAAAAAAAATCTCAAAACCACAGAGCCCATGCTATCAGCTGTCCCAGGCCACAGAGAAGCCTCCAACTGATAACATGTTCCCTTCACTCACCCAGCATTCTTTTTGCTAATAAGAAACAAATGAGCAGATTGGTTTCCTAATGACTATTGGCCGAAAGGAACACAGGCTCTGTGTGTGAAGGAGGAAGCTACCTGCACCCTGAAGGACCTGCTACAAGACTCCTATAGCCTACAGTCGTGCTTTCTGCTTCCCCGGATCCATAACCCACTACCCACATATCCAAGAAGCACCTATTGTGTGCCAGGCCCTGTGTTGAGTCCTGAATGGCAAAAAAGAATCACAGCCCTGGCTAAGTAGGAGCCCTATTACTACTGAGGCCACAGTAACTTCCCCTTCATGGCCCCATCTCAGCTGCCGCTTTGTATTTAGCTCTTTAGCTCTTTTACTCTGTTTCCCAGAATGTAGTCCCCGGATCTGTCTGTTCACTGCATCCTTAAGCATCTAGCCCAGCTGTTGTGCAAGGCTAAGTGTCAGCAAAGCTGCCCAGTGAGCGACACAGGAGCCAGCAGCCCCACACTACTACAGCCATGGGTGAACTGCTCTCACCAAGCCTTCCTGTTGCAGGGAGTGTATACCCATCCTTTCACACTGGGAGCCAAAATACATCCTACCTTCAAAACAGGTAAGGTGGACAGATGACTCAGGGGTTAAAAGCACTTGTCCCTCCTGCTGAGGGAGATTTAGTTTTTGGCACCCACATGATGCTCACAACCTCTATAACTATAATTCCGAGGGACTCAAGACTGTCTTTTGACCTCTGCTGGCACCATACTCTCATTTAAAAAAAATGTGCATTATCTAGGGGTTCTGGGCTCTAGTGGACCCCTGGGGATCAGGGAGAAACAGAATCTTTCAATGCTGTTTCCATCTGTCAGTGAGCCAGCTAGCCCCGTCCCTTCACCAGTGATCCCCAGTCACACTGGGGAGTGTTTCTTGATCAGTTTTGAGGATGGACCCACCTAATTCTTGGGGTCCTGGATGAGGCCCCCCCAACCAACAACTCTACACACACCTCCATGTGCAGGCCTTAGGGTTTGCTCTGCCTTCCCAGTCTCCCCTGGTAAACAGGTTATGCACTGTAGCTGCCAGACACTAGGCTCTCCTGCCACCCTGCTGCAAATGTGGGTGGGACACTGCAGTTCTCACAGTGGTAGCAAAACTCACTGGGCTCAAAGTTAAAGTTCATTCCACCCCCCTAACAAGCTCAATTGCCACCTCCTTGGATTCCAGTAGGCTCAAGTAGCAGGGCAAGAGGGGAAGTTTTGAGTATGACCATGATTCCCGGAACCAGCAGTCCTTCAGGTTGTTGGCATAAGCTGGTGTTTTCTTGCTGTGCTCCCCTCCCACATTAACCCTTCCCGAAGGAGGACCAGGGATTATATTGCCCGCTGATCTTGCTGGTTCAGGGTGGACTCCAGGTGTGACAGGCTTTAATTAGCCCTGGGGTCCAATCTAACGAGTCCCATGTGAGAATTGAAACTACCAGAAGCGTGGCTATCAACTTCTCTCCACCCTTCAGGACCCAGCAGGTGCAGCCTCAGACATCCAGACTAGCCATTGTAGCCACCAGAGTAGCCTGGGAACCTTGCCTTCCCCAATCTCTGCCAAAGCCTTTCTGGCTTTCTCTATTTCTCCTAAGACTGGAGGAATGGGACAGCCCAGAGATGAACAGTCCATACCGAGCCAGAAAACCTGGGGCTAAGGAAGGACTTCCACGCACTTCGTTACCAGGTCCACCAGGTGGCCAGGAGAAGGCTGGCTCACTCACCTCTGCTCTACCTAAGGCTTCGGGCACCCGCGCTGGGTAAGGAACAAACACTAATGTCACATGGCTCCAGCCAGGGGAAACTCCGGAGACAACTGGGGCTGGGCAGTACCGGCTGGTGGGAAGGGGAAGGATAGCGGAGGGTGGAAAGGAGGGAGAAAAAAAAATTCCAGACCTAGTGTAACCATCGACTGTACCACTTCCTTCACTTGGGTCCTTATTCCGCATTTGCTCCACTGGGCACCGGTGCGCACTCACTTCAGTCTCCAGAGAGTGCGTGCGGTCAAAGACAAACACACACACTCCGAGGTACACCGTGCGCACTCAGCGCGTAGGACTCAGGACGCACCCCAGAGAACACACACGCCCGCCCGCTGCCGGGGGACGTAAACAAACCGCGCACACACGGTGCTGGGCGCGGCTCCAGGGACTGTTCTCTCCGAGTCACGTACGTGCACGCCCCGCCCCGCCCCGCCCCCGCTTCCTCCGGGCCCGCGTACCGCCAGCCCCTCTGAGGCCCCTCGGTGGGCAGATGTACCGGGCCGCCGACAGCGCGGCCCAGGCAGGACTCGGAGCACTCAGCCCTCGCGCGGTCCGGGTCCTTACCGCTCTCCGCCAAGCCCGGCTGTCCGTGAGCGCTTGTCGCAGCTGTCCCCGCAGCTGTCGCGGTGGCGGTCCCAGAGCGCTCTCAAACCCCACTCCTCTCCGATTGGGACCGCAGTTCACTGGGAACCCGGCTCCGCGCAGCGCCGCTCGGAGTTTTGTTGTGGGGCGGGCGGCGCAGGGGGCCGGAGCCGCGCGCAGTTGTAAGGCGAGCTTCCCGGAATTACTCACGCACAGGATTCCTTTCATTCATAAAAACCCAGTCATGCACTGACGTCATCGCCTCCGCCGCCTGCCGGTCCCAGAGCTGCGGCCGAGAGCCAAGGCCACGCCCCCAGTCAAAGTGAGGTCCCGCCCCCAGAAGGCCCCGCTCTAGGGGCCCACAGCCCGAGTTTCCTGGGTTCTCAGCCGCCTTCCCTCCCGCTTTCCCTCCCTCCAGACGTCGTCCACTGGATGCATTCACGTGACACCTCTCGAGAATGGCAGTGGAGATGTCGCTTCACTGTCTGAATTCTTCCCTCTTCGATCTACACCCTTTGCCCAGATGATCTCATCCAGTCTTGTGGTTTTAAATCTCTGTACCTGTAGGCCCTAGGTTTGTATTCCCAGAGCCACAGCAACTGCCTACTACCGATCTTCAACTGTGTCTCCACTCGCCCAGGTAATTCCTGCCTCCACCATGTGGGTAAAACTGTTTCTCACTAACTCTGACAACTGGAGTTTGGTCCCCACAATTTACTCATGGAAGGAAACAACGAATTTAAGGTATATATAAAAGTTAGAAATAAGAATTTTTAAAAATTTGAGCTCTGAAGAATTATTCTCAAATTCTAGAAAATACACAATCATGAGCAGTCTCTCCTGTGTACCCCCACTTTCATACCTTTTAGAAAGCTGAGGCCATGCCTGTCAAATAGTAGACACTCAATTAGTGAAGGAATCCGGTAGACTCCTATGACATATGGGAATTAACCCCATGTGGCTAAAGCCTTTGACCTCATCCCCAGCCTAAGAGCACAGAGGAGTAAGGAAGACTTCATCAATCACACCCTGTTGCCCATAGAGGTCCATCTTGTTTTGGTAATGGTCAAACCGTGTTGTGCAATTTAAAAGTGGTGTTGGCCTTCTCACACTCTCTTTCCAGTGACAGACCCCCCCAAAAAAACGGTACCCTGCAAGACAAGGCAAATGATGAAAAACAGATCTTCCACCCAGAGCTCAGGTGGTTGGAAGAGAGAATGATTTGGTATCTCTCACATCTTTTCATCTTTCAGTGAGACCTGTGTCAATGTCACTGATCTTTCTGGTAAGGAAACCATTGCCAAGAGGGACTACTGGTGTGGTGACAGGTCCTCCCCATATGCTGTCATGTCAGTTTCAAGGACTGTGTCATGTCGGTTTCAAGGACTGGGCAATGTTATTCTGTCTACCAAACTGTGGGTCACAGGAGGAAACAAGACCTGTCAGTCCTCGGAGTTCTTGCTCACTTGGGATGAAAGATCAGGCCGATTGAGGATGTGGCCTCCATCCCCTCTGACAGCCCCCACAGGAAGGAAGGTCGCTGTGGTCACTGTCTGTGGACAGGACTCCTCAGGTTGTTTTCTGTTAATAAATTGCTTTCCTGTATATTGCGGTAAATAAGGATCAGGATAAACAAATAGGCCGAATAGATGTTTATTCAGGGAGAAATAACTTACAACCTAGACAGATGAACACCAGGAAATTCAACCCGATCCTCTCCTGTCCGAGTCACGCCAGAAAGAGAGCGCCTTCCTGGCCCCCTCCGACCTCCTTCCTCAGGTCACCTCCGCCCATCGCTCCACCCCCCAATGGGCGTGGTCAGTGCTACAGAAGGACTACCTCACTACACCTGTAAGCTTTAAAGAAAAAAACAAAACAAACAAACAAACAAAAAGTGGGGGGGGCTCTCTGGCTTGAGGCAGCTCTGACTAGCTAAATCTGGGACACCTTTGGCATTTCAATAGAGCAACGATGGATCGTAATGTATTAAATTAGAATGGTTGAGTTTACCCTGATAGAAATAAATGGGGAAAAAAAATTCCTCAAATGGAGAGAATGGTGGCATTAGAGAGTGACCATCAAGGCACCACCACATTGTAATAACACATTGCAACGATGATCATCAGCAGGGATTTTTATTTGATGAGAGGCAAGATATTCTCATAGTTTGGAGCCAGCAAGATGGCTCATCAGATAAAGGCACTTGCCATCCAAGGATGCAAGCCTGACAACACAAGTTCAATCCCGCCAAATCCATACAATGGTCAGGGGGAGTACTGACCTCATGAAAGTCCAGGGACTGTGATGAGTTTGACAAACCAAGATGAATGATAGATAAGTGTTTATTGAGGAAAAACTTACACAGATGACAATAAGTAACAGTCTCAGCATTCTTGCTCCAAAATGCAGACCCTGCCTCCCCAGTACTCTCTGCGACCCCAAGGGGGTCTCCAGTCCTCTCCCTTTAACCGTTCAAAAGGCATGGCCACTGTTCCAGGTACACAGGCAAATATATCACTACAACTTCACAAAGTTGTCTTCTGACCTAGAAAGAGAGAGGATGATGATTATGAATAAAAATTGGCTCACAGTTAAGGCCGTACATTGCTCTTGCAGAAGACCTGAGCTAGGTTCTCATCACCCACACCAGGTGACTCACAACCTCTTGTAACTGCAGCTTCAGGGGTATCCGAAACCTCTGGCTTCTGCCTCCAGCTGGCACCTGTACTGACATGTCATCCCCAAAAATGAACCTTAAAAAAAAAAAGAGATTATCATAGCTTCAAGGTAATTTTCCACAAGACAACTGTTAACTATAATTAGGTCAGAATACTAACTTTTTTTTTTTCCAAGACAGGAACTTGATCTGTAGACCAGTCTGGCCTGGAACAGAGAGAGATCCACCTGCCTCTGCCTCTCGAGTGATAGGATTATCACTCTGGCTAGAAGGCCAACTTTCAGAAGTTTTCTCCTTTCACTGTGGGATCCAGAGATGAAGCACGACAAGCACTTTTATGTGCTGAGCTTTCTCGCTGGCCTAAAATAGTTAATTATTAGCTGCAGAAGGAAAATAGTAACTCTACAATGGAGGTATTTGGCGGACCTAACCTTCACTAGTGGTCCAAGTTAATAAGCCAGCAGTGGGACAAACAGATGGATTTGAGAACATGACAGCTCATAGCAGACAATACCATATTCTTTGTCCTGATAACTGTTCTTTGAGCAACACTTGTTCTTGATTTTAGGAAATACTCATGAAGTATTAGGTAAAGGGACCTCATGTCTTTGGTTTACTCTGAAGATATGGAGATACAAACATGTGAATAGTCTGTGCTACATAGTTTTATGTCAACTTGACACATGCTAGAGTCAATTGGAAAGAGGGAAACTTGATAAGAAAGTGCCTTCACCAGTTGTCCTGTGGACAAGCCTATAGTGCATTTTCTTGATTGATGTGGAGGGTGGGGAGCAGCTCACCATGGGCAGTGCCATCCCTGTGCTGGTGGTCCTAGAAAGCAGGCTGAGCAGGCCCTGAGGAGTAAGTCAGTAAGTAAGTTCCTCCATGGTCTCTGCATCAGCTCCTGCCTCCAAGTTCTTGCCCGGACATTCCTGTATTACAGACAATGAGATAAACCCTTCCCTCCCCAAGTTGGTTTTGATCATGGTGTTTATCACAGCAACAAAAACCCTAAGGCATCATGTTGTGAGCTAAATTGTGTCACCAAACTGTGAATATTGAAGGATACCTAACATACCCCAGAACATGGCTATACTCGGAAGTAAGACTGGTTTTTTTAATATGTCTATTTTATTGTGCTTGAATATTTTCTTGCATATGTTTATTTGTACCATGTGTGTACAGGGCCTTTATACACCAGACAGGACATCAGATTCCTCATAACTGGAGGTACAGATGGTTGTGAGCTGCCCTGTGGGTGCTGTGTCCTCTGAATATAAGAATACCAGCAAGTTTTAAAGAAGTGTGCGTTAAGATAAGGTCTTTACACTAACTTCATCTGGTTCCAGTCCTTAGAAGATGTGGGAAGAGCCAGGGGTGCTCACACAGAGACAGATCTGGGAAGGTGAGGCTTCCTGTCCACCCTGTCCTCAACTTCCAGTATAAGGTGTGGGAAAGTGAGTTCCAGGTGTGAAGCCACCCAGGCCATGACCGTTTGTCATGATAGCCCTATCAAAAAATAGAAGGGAATGTAATACAACAAAATCTGCTCAAATATCAACATTTGGGGACTCTTAATGACAATCATAAGAAAATTAAGCTTGTAATTTTTCTTTAAATTTGAATTGTATCATAATGGGAACTCTTAGAGGCAATCAAGATAGGTGTAGAGTCGGATTCTGGGCTGCTCCCTCAGCTGACCTCCTCTGCTGTGCATGCTGGCATGGTAACAGTGCCTGCTCTGCAGCCTGGGAAATAGTTTCGTGCACTCACCTACAAGCTTCTATACCATGCTTATTATGTAATGGAAAATCAATAACATTGGGTTAGACACAGATGAGGCCTCCAATGTTTCCTAGGGCACTCCCTCTGAGAAACCTACTTATCCCATGGTGAGTGACTTTACTTACACCAAATTGGGTGTGATCTCACCCTGCCAGGACACCTCATCATGCAGGGAGGTACCTTGTTGCCAGTTTCTAGAGTCACTCTCTGCTTGCACTGCCCTACAGGACTGTAGGCCAATTGGTTCGCCATTCATCTTCTAGACTCTAGGGAATGGGTGCCCAGCCTTGTACCCCTTGTACCTCAAGACTCTGGCTCATGGCAGAGGAAGTGGCTTGGATTGCACTTCTAGCTGACCTCAGTTGGGGTCAGAGAATGCTCTTCATTTTCCTAGGCCTCATTTGCTCCTGCAGATTGAGAATGTGGTACTAGGTCTCTGGTTTGATCTCCTGTCCCCGTGAGCTGATGTCATTTAGAGCTCCTGGTCCCCTTCAACATCAGGATATCAGTTCAGCACTGGGCCAGCAGCATGGGTCCCTTCACACTAAAAGGGACCCCTTCTGGTACCTTCAGTCACCTGGTATTGCTCCAGATGCTTCCACCTCCCACCAGTCTTGCACTAGTTTCTTACTACTGGTAATTAGTGACAGCTTCTAATAGTGATGATTGTGCCCTTAATGACACACTTCCTTTGTGCCAGGCACTGTGCTCAGTGCCCACAGCCTATTCTCGCACTGTCTTTCACTGTTCTCTTTTATTGTGAATCAGGACCTCATATAGCCCAGGCTGGCCTCAAACTTCTTATGTATCTGAGGATGACTAACTTCTGACCCTTCTGCCTCCACCTCCTGAGTGCTGAGATTACAAGTGTGTGCCTCCATACCCAACTGGGGATCAAACCCAGGGCTTTGT